TACCACATGTGGTAAAAATGTCATGACAATCCGTCCACAAGTTTTTGAGTAATGTTGTCCACAGACAGATCGACAGCCATTAGCGACCGAAAACATTACCTCGCCCTTGGTGGAGGTAATAAAGAAAACTGAACGGACTGAAAAATACGACCCAAACAGAATATAAAGATACCTACGCAGCAGCAAGAAACAAATTAAAACTTTTTGCATTCCTCGAGACACCAAGTACACAACAAAATAAATTTAACAGCTAAAAAAGTGGAATGTGCATGATCTGTCCCCTTTCATTATTTTATATGCAAAACTCCAAATAAACTGTGACTACCTGTGTCATATAGTAAAATTTAGTTTAATTTTTTTTTGTGTTCCTGTAAAAAAAAAGGCGATTATTTTAGGAAGGTGTCACTCTGGTCTTTGCAACTTTTTTTTTCTTTTTTACTAATTCCAGTTTTAAGACATTGTATTTACTGAGTTGAAGCATTATGTTTTTGATGAATGCACATTTCAGAAAACAYGGGGGGTCATGAGCAAGACGTGTTTACCCAGTTCCTTCTGTATGCTGCTCGGCTTTCCTGCATGTGTCACAGGTTTTTTTTGGCCTCGCTCAGTCTGAGTCAGAGTGGATGTAATACCACTCAGTTCATCTCCATAACGCTGCGGGAGACTCCAAAACTCACATCCCACACGGTGATCCTTCAGAAGAAAAGACACACGAGCGAAAAGCCCCGAGATATTTAAAAATAATAATTTAGCAGAGTTGAGAAAGCAAATGTGTGTCATACATATCCGGAGTGGGTGAACRGCATGACTCGGTTCAGATGTACCTTTTGCTCCGGAGTTTCGCTAAAATTGCTGGCTTGATTCATCAGTAAGGAYTCCACCGGCCTGTTGAGCAAGTCTTAATATAAAACAAACAGAGATAAGACACTGATACACAACATAAGTGAGGGTTTTGAGTCATGTAAGAATTTGTAACATGCTTTAACGTCTAAAGGCTGGACAGAAAGAAGGACACAAAATTCTGGAGTAGCTTACGAGATAACTCAGCCTGCTTCTGTCTGTGATAGCGCACATGTTTGTCCCAGTTTTGCAGGGCGTTACTTTGATGGTTCCTCTGGTGTGAAGGTCTCCCACTCTCCACAATGGTTGTGTTAYACCCTGTGGTCTCAAACAGCTGATCAAAACTAATCTCAGGAGATTTTGGTATTTTTTCCAAGAGCTGGTTATGAAAGGAAGAATAAAAGTTTACAAAGACATTTAATTTAAAGGGATCCCTGATTAGTTGTAACATTAGACTTTATTTGATAAACATATATTTTAAC